ATGTGCAAAGTAATTTTCATGTTAAAATTAAATATACTTTTCCTCATCACAAAATTCTCAAATTTCCTTTGTGTAACCCTTAAAACTTCCTAAATGCATTTCAAACTTTTTTCTCAGTCTTTATAGTTTATCTGTTATTTTCTCTACCCTATCTCAAAATGGAATTGGTCAAATCGACCGACCTCGTAACCCCTAAAAAAAATCTAAATTATAATTTTTCTCTTTCTAGAATAACTTCATATTGTAACATGAAACTACATTCGTTCATCCTAATTAGCTCTAAATTTGTAACAGTATAAATCTTTTTATAATAAAATGTTATTGTTTTATTGCCCCTTTGAACCATGTCCAATTACTATCCGTGCCATTATAAGTTGTAAATCACTTGGGGAACGTGCAGCTCACGTTGCGCTAACAAATTACATTACCCACAAGCTGCTTGTGTGCGTGTCTCATGAAACATTTTTATTATAATATATTATTATTTATTTTACCTAATCTAATCTTAACTAACCTAAAGATATCTCTATTTTTACATTTTAGATACTTTGATAATCATACATAAAGAACAAGCATGAGAAACAAGAAATAAAGTATTTAACCAATATTCTTTTTTCTTTCTGTCAATTGTTGAAGCGAGTAAACCCTAATTATTTTATACTAATGATAGTAATGCACTTAATAATTTTAATTTAATTAAATAATGCAAAAAGTAGACAAATTCGCCTACCACTCAAAATTTTTCTGGCTTTCTAGCTATGCAACAAGAGTTGTTACAAATTCATCCAAGATAGACATTAATTTTCTCACGGGAACAATGTTGGTACTCTGAGTGAAATTGATATTTAACTGTTCAGAACACAATGTAACATAATACATCATTTGAACAATGTTGGTACTCTGAGTGAAATTGGTATTTAACTGTTCAGAACACAATGTAACATAATACATCATTTGATAGATGAAAACCTTGACTTTCTATTGGTAATAGATAATATATAAATAAATGTAAGAGATAACTATTAACGAATTCTGAAAGAAAGGATGTGACAGGTAGGCATGGCAGGAGGGGTTTGATTTTCTATTTGGTAGCTCTGTAATCAAACAAAATTGAAGAGTATAAAACTGATGGTTTGTCTGAGCAATGACAATTTTAAATTATGTTTAATCTTACACATTTTCAAGGCATGGTGGATAAAATAGGGAAGATTACATGCTAAAAGAAAAATGTCACTTATATACTATTAAAATATGGATGATTAGCTAAGATTTTATGCTATTCTAATTGGTATAACATAAACAAAAAGAAGTTTATAAAATTTTGAATGTAAGACACTAAAACCTTGTGTCACACGCAGTAAAGGGTACCCAGGGCAATAAGGTTAAACAATGGCTAGTTAAACTCTGGTCAACCAAGTTATCAGGTTCTGACAAGGAATTATTCAAACCCTCATCAACGCATGTGTGATAGTAATCTGACCAACCAACTCATCAGGTCCAGACCAGGAAACATTCAAACCCATATTCCTGCTTGCATGACAGTACTATAGTCTACCAACTCATCTGATCCTGTCCAGGAAATATTCAAACCCACATTCTTGCTTGTATGACAGTATTTTGGTTAACAAAGTCATCAGGTCCAGACCAGGAAATAATAATAACTTTTGATCAGAGTAAGTTATGTACTTAGAGCCAAACTAAAAATTAACCTGGTCATCAGTATAGCTAATTAAATAAACGTTTTTTATGTAATTATTAACAAAGATTAGATTGCATTATTTCAACAGTTGGATACCCTCACTGTTAATATTATTTTTGGCTGTAATCCCAATAACATCTCAATAGGTTCAGACAGCTACGGAGATTTAGGTTAGTCCTAACAATAAATTCGAAGCTAATAATGCAAATCAGGCTTTATAATAATAGTACAACAATGTACAAGAAATTAAAACAAACGTAAAAAAAAAAGGAATTAAATCTGATATATATGAGGTCAACCGGGAAACATTCAAATCCTCATCTCTGTCTGTTTGACACTGCTCCCATCAACCTAGTCATCAGGTCACAACCAGGAAAGACTCAAACGTGCATCCCTGCTTGAGTTATGAAATCATAAAAACCTAAACTCATGTCTGCATTAACTTGTTCTAACAAGCATGCTACCAGGTTTCACATGCTGCAACTATTCCCTTCGTTTTTTTGTTTTACAAACCATTAACACAATTTTTAAGCTAAACCAAATAGTCTCACATTACAATAACAATAAAAATTTAAATAGTGGTACATTATCCTCTTTCTCCCAGTTTTCGAATATTAGTGATGTACTAAACCTATTTTTTTTTATTCAATTTATTTAAAATGCATAATCTTGTTCCAATACTGTTCCTAAAATATATAAAACAAATTGGAAAGTAGTCCATTCTAAGCTTAACCATACTGGTTGAAAAATTGTTTTGTTTGTTTGTTTTGAATTTCATGCAAAGCTACATGAGTGCTATCTCTAATTTAGCAGTGTAAGACTAGAGGGAAGCCAGCTAATCATCACCACCCATCGCCAACTCTTGGGCTACTCTTTTACCTACGAATAGTGGGATTGACCATCACATTATAATGCCCTCCATGGCTGAAAGGGCAAGCCTGTTTGGTGGGACAGGGATTCGAACCCGCGACCCTCAGATTGCAACTCAAGCGACCTAACCACCTGGCCATGCCGGGCTACTTGAAGAATTGATAAAGAATATATTTTTATAAAAGAAACATTTTTATACTTGGTAATGAACTATAATAAAAACCTTTACCAACTAACATATATTATATTTACCTTTATCTTTGGGTACTGAGATGAATTTGTTCACAATAGTTTCATTCTCAATAAGATAGTCTAGAGAATTAAATGAAGGAAATAGTTGAAAGTTTACAAATATAAAATGATGACCAAATAATTTTTTAAACATCAATATCACAAACTATGGTTTTATTAAACTTTCACATTTTTGCCTATACTAACTAAATGTTAAGCTAGTCTCATAGTGTAGTACATACACCTTAAATATTTAAAAGTAATAGTAACTAGTTGAACAAACAAAGTGTGTGTTATTATGCTCCACCATAAACTATGTCTGTTGTCCAGAACGCGACTTTTAAACATAAATTTGGAATATGATCAAAACTAAAAAAAAAAAAAGGGGGGGTACTTAAATGCAATATACAACAGTGATTGAACAGCACTGCTGTGAACAAGCCTTGAGATGACCCCACAACCAGTAACCTGCAGGTTGAGATCTTCTTATGGAGTCACGCTGACAGTTCTTGTAGTCAGCATCCAGCTCCAATGCGAGTTCAGCCTGCTTCAGGATTTCTTTGTATTTGATTAATCATACAAACTACATGGACAGTTATGCCCCCTAGTATTAATATTCATCAGTTTATTTGTATCAGCTCAACGTCTCTCCCATGTGCTTTCTAATTATCATCATGACACTGATAAGTGGCCACAGGCCTTGTATATACATTAAACACAATGCCAAAATAGGAACTGTATTCAAGGAAGATTCTATTAAAACAAATTCAGGTGCATTTAATTTGAAGATACTAAGGAAACTTTGATAAATATATAAAAATTCAAATATTAAAACATATCATTTCGCAGCAATTTTTCCAATCCCATACAGACCAACCCGAGTATCTTGTGCAGTAATTTTGTATCTGAATTACAATTTCCCTCTTTCTTCATCAAGTTGTGTTGTTCAAAAACTTACTTTACTTCACAAAATCCATTCATCTGACTAATACTGGCTTATGCAACGCACGGACTACACGGTCAGCTCAGAGAACCTCAAGATTCAGCCAATCAGCAGCATCTACTGTCTTAAGAACTTTACGTAGCTTTGAACCTAATAACAGGATTGATTACCACCCTTATAATGCACTCACAGCCAAGAGTATGAAGTATTACATGAATTCACAGCAAAAATATTGAATCTTTTGATTTACAATGTGGCACGTTAACTCTGGATCACTCCCAGACCATGTATAAAATGAATATATAAATGTATAAAATGAATTTATAAAATGTATAAAAAGAAATAAAATAAAATTCTTATTTTATTCTTTCCAATCCTGGTCAGAGACACCTAGGATTCGGGTGTGACCTTCCCAAATTTTGAACTACTGACCAGAAGAAAGAGTAGCCAGCACCAGTAACACCAAATAATGAGACTGACTGCCATTCTTATAATGCACCCAAACCTGAAAATCAGAGAATATACAGTAGCATTTCAGCACAAACCTTGGACCATCCTATAAAACCTAACATGCTAACCTAACCTTTTCTGGCTCATTGCACAAGAAAGAACAACAACAAAAAATATACACATATCAATAAGTATTTTTTGCCAAACTTGTTTATAAATTAAATTCTATCCATAGCTTCAGCAAAAGTAATTAAAAAACTTATTTTTAAATATATGAAAATTATATATATTTTTAAGCCTTTTTTTATTTACCACCAGATACCATCCCCCCAAGCTTTCACAGATAATATAATAATGCTACAAAATAATTTTTTTTTTAAAACTTAACACGATATTATGGTATACAAAATCAAAGTATTTTTGCTTTCACCAGGCACCGTTGGACCAGATATTATTTTAACAGTCTGACGACGAGAAATAAAGAAGTGAAAAAGGATACAGGTCTTTTCATCATCATTGGCATGTTCTAATTTATCAGCTTCTTTTCCAAATACGGCCTAAAAGTATAGATGTTTGATCATTCAGGCATTGAAACATAAAATATAGTACAATAATATGACACTTTATTATTAAAACACTATCATTAAAATTCTGCTGACACTGTAACACAGATGTCAACTATTTTCCCTTTTGTTTCATCATGAATACACCGTCTAATCATCAAGTAAAGAGCGATACTTCTAAAACACGTTTAAAAAAAAAGTTAAAATTCTGCTTATTCTTGTTAATTTTGTACAGCTACGTATTATATCTGCTTCTGTTAATACTCTGTACGTTAACACATACGTTATATACTGTACGTTAACACATACGTTATATATGCTGTTTCAAATAGCAAATTACTCCTGTTAGTGTCAGATGCACTCTTCACCTACCACACGGTAAACAATAATTTGTATCACACAGAATGCGAAGAAGATGTATATCACATTGCTGACTGTAGTATCATATTATTTTGGTTACTACTAGATACACTATTTACCCACAACTGCTTTTTTTTCTATATTGCATTAATAAAATATCCACCAACATAAGTTTAACGAGCTTAAACTGACAGATACGGTAGGATGGAAGACGTACAGAGCTAGGGATTTGGTTAAAAAAAGAAATTAAAAAATCTTCAAGGGCTTATGAGAAACAGTTGGTTGATATTAAAACTAACAACCAAGATGTTTTAAGTATGTTAAATATAAACAAAATATTACAATGAGGATTGATCACACAAAGGATGCCGAAACAAGGATTTTAAATGATATTACAAGATGGCTGATCTCCTGTTTTTTTTTTTTTACAATTACAACAAAGCATGTTAGCAACATTTTTCACCCCGACTGTTGTATGGGGAAGATTAAAATTAATTTGAATCATATAGATATTAATCTTTTGTTAGCAAGTAAAATGATTGAGAGGTTAAAAACAGATAAAGAATTCTCCCACAATTATTTAAAGGAGGTCAAACGAAGATATGCAAGCCTCTATATCTTTCATTTTTGGTAGGTCAACGGACAATGGGAAGGTACCCAAGGATTGGAGAGTTGTTAATGTTACTCCTATTTTTAAAATGGATGATAAGAGTTATTCTACAAAATATAGACCATTCAGTCTTAGATCTGTGATGAAAACATTTGTAGAGAGTCTGATAAAAGAAGTTTTGTAAAATTATTTAGTGAAATATGAGATCCAAAAAGAAGGCCAACATTAGAGAGAATTCTTCCCTTATGAATCTTTTAACTTTTTTTTTTTTGAAGATGTTACTTGTTATCTGGATGATGGGACAGGTATGGGCTTGTACTTAAGATTATCAAAAAGCCTCGGAAAATATATCACACAGATAAGCCTTGTATATCACATAGAAGCAATCAAGAAAATATTAGTTAATTTGATTGCCCGGTGGTTGGGTGAAAAAAAAAAGCAAAAATAGGTCATTAAGGGGTCCAGTCCAAATAGACCATTATTACAAGTGGTGTGCTTGACAGAGTGGTGCTCGGGCCTTTGCTTTTTCTTACTTACTTAAATCAATACTGACATAATTACTAAATTTGTATTGTTTTCGATATTCACACAATGTTATACAAAGTATAAAAGTGCTAAGAATGCCAGATTTTGATCTCATACACTAAAAGATAAAGCAGCTAGTCAACAGCACCAACAATTACCTCTTAGGGTACACACTAACAGAAAAATGGAATATGTCCATCACTCTTTATAACACACTCACACTCCCAAAATGTAGGAAATAATTTTGCAGCAACAGGACATGATTTTTGGATTCTAAAGTATGACATGCTGACCACAATTGGTCTAGTAAATTATTGAAGATTACCAATAAGATTGAACTCATGGTCACCTCTACCTGTCTTGAGTACGTTGAAGGATTACATGGCTACCAGATTAATTAAATTAGTAAGTTGGACAGATACTTACTAAATGATCTTTAATTACATTAAATGCAAGTTAATACAGTTGGGTTATTATAATTTTGATTACATTTTACTACAGACTGGAAATCGATAGAAAGGGATCCTGCAATAGTGTTAGAAAAGTAATTCAAGTGCACTGCTTTGTCACTAGTAATGAAGTTTACAGAATTCAGGATGAACTTAAGGACATACTGATAACAAGACAAAAGAGGTTATTACCTCTTTATACAAATTACAAGTTAGGCACCACTTAGAATAATGTGTACAGTTTTGGTCTCTTTATCTAATGAGGGATATTGACTTATTGGAAAGTGGGTTAGAGAACTACTAGGATAATTCTGAGGATGGAAGAGTTATATTAAGATTTCCTAGCTACTTCTTATTCTGAGGATGGAAGAGTTATATTTAGATCTAGCTAATTCTTGTTCTGAGGATGGAAGGGTTATATTTAGATCTAGCTAATTCTTGTTCTGAGGATGGAAGGGTTATATTAAAATCTCCTAGCTACTTCTTATTATGA